TATTCAACTTTCAAGATCGCTATGGTGCTCCCATAAATGATCTATTAATGCATTACGTAGTTCAAAATGAGCTTCTTTGTCCTTTATTCTTTTATATCGAGCTAGAAATTGTTGAAATTGATAATTTTCATCTATTGCCATTTATACGGTTGGAGTGGGACCTTCCGACGCATCTTGAATTGGTGCATAAAGATCACACTCATCCTCAATTATCATGTTGTGCATTATAATACATGAAGTTAATATATCATGAAGTTTAAATTATTATGTTTTTTTGTACTTTTTAAAATTACTATGTATTTTATATTTCAATTTTGATGTATGTCAGTTACTACTTTGTTGATTGTTTATTATTTTCGGTTATTCTTAAGTACATTGTATTATTTGTTTAAAAATTTATATGTTTGCATTTTTTAATTTTTTTTGAAGGTTAATTGTAGTTATATCCAATTATAATTTATAGTAGAATTAACATAAATTTAATTTTTTTAAAAGTCATATATAGAAAAATTAATTTATAAAAAAAAGCTAAATTTTATATCTAAAAATTAATATTATAAAAATATTACATAAAAATAATTAAATATACAAGAGATTTAATTAAAACATACAATTTATATAATGTTTAATTAAAAGTTTGTATAATGAAATAATATTAAAATATTCAAAAAGTGAATTGGTGTGACGAATAGTGTGTAACACTATTCACACACCAAATTTGGTGTGGATTGGAGCTCAAAACTCCAAATTTTACACCAAATTTAGAAATTGGTGTAAAATTTGGTGTTGGGTTGAAGATGGTCTTAGTAAATCACAAGTTTTTTAAGGACATAATATATAATTTGTGAGATATTATGATACAAAAATTTAAACTTACGCTTTGCAAAGAAATTTATTTATCTTAAGAAGCAAAAATCAAAGATCATCAATACAAACTAGAGTCAAAGATGCAAATTTCTTTGTGCTAATATGAATAGGTGAGACAGTAACATATAGCCATGTAATATTTAAAATATTTTTACTAAGAAATAATCTTTTAAAAAATGTATTAACATGGCAGATTCAAGGTGAGGTGTCACAATATATGTTATTTGCAGATAATGTAGTTTTGATTGGTGAGACTAGCGACGGAGTTAACGTTTAGGTGGAGGTTTACAAACAGACATTAGAATGTAAATGATTCCAGCTGAGGACATGACTAGAATTGAATACTTGAAGTACAAGTTTAATTGTGGTGCATGAGGCTGATGTGGAAAAGTGAGGCTTAATACACTAGTCATCCAAAAGATAGCTAGTTTCAAGTATCTTGGATGTATTATCTAGGGAAATAGAGAGATTAACAAGTAACACCCCTCCGTATTGGTGCAGGATTGAGGAAGTGGAGGCGTAGTTTCCAGAGTCTTATGTGATAAGAAGGTGTCACCTAATCTTAAAGGTAAATTCCATCAAGTGGTGGTTAGATGAACTGCGTTTATGGGGTGGATTGTTGGCCAATCAAGAACTCTCACATTCAATAAATAAAAGTGGCAAAAATGAGGATGTTGTGATAGATGAGAGGATATACTATAAGCGATTTGATTAAAATGAGAATATCTGAGACAAGATGGGAGTGACTTTGATAGAAGACAAGATACAGGAAGCGAAGTTGAGATGCTTTAGGCAGTTATAAGGAGTTGCACGAATCCCCGATGTGAAAGTGAGAGCAGTTGGTTGTAGATGAGTTTAGGAGAGGTATACAAAAAAAGTATCAGAGAGAGGGGATAAAAAAAACAAAACTTGACACTATTAAAATTTACTGAAGACATGACCTTAAATATAAAGGCCTGGAGGACACAAATTAAGGTAGAAGGTTTAAAGATAGAAGTACATTCATACTAGTAGGTAGGAGTCCATTACATTATGCTCTTATTAGTAGTCTTAGTACTACGCTTGTAGTTTCCTTGTTCTTCGATTTTGTTAATATATGTCGTTTTATGCAATTTAATTGTAGTATTGTTCAGCTAGAATCTGTTGTTTTTGCTATTATCAATTATCTTGTATTTTCATTACGCCTTTTTCTAGACCATTTTTGTCTTGAGCCGAGGGTCTATCAGAAACAACCTCTTACCACACCAACCTCTTACCACACCTCTGAGGTAAAGTAAAATCTCTGTACATTCTCTTCTTCCTAGACCCGACTTTTTGAGACTATATTGGGATGTTATTGTTGTAGTCTTTTTAAAAAATAATTTAATGTATGTGTTTTGCACATGTATAACCTAATATATTTTTAGTAATAATTAATCTTTTAAATTCTATTAACAAAAAAATACCGTTTATTATTTCATTCTCTTTTTTTCGTATTTGCATTCAACGCCACCTTGTATACAAATCATTTACTTATTTGATCTTTTTATCTATTTTTTAAAAAACTATAATCAAATATAATAAAACAAATATTCATTACAAGTGGAACAATGAATTAAGGGTTATAGAAAAGTTTCAAAATTAAGGATTGGTGACTCAAGTTTAATTATTGAGTAGGGGTGATAATTTTTAAATTAAAATTAAGGGGTTGAATTTTCTATCCCTAAGTTTTTTATTTTACACTTTAGTCCATCTTATATAAAATTCTAAATAATAAGAAATTGAGGGGAAAAAAGAGGGTACCAATGGCTCACTTTTTTTCCCTTTTTCTCTCTTGCTTATTCTTCCATTGTTGGGGACCATTGTTGCTACTCTTCTTCTTGATTCTTCTTCTCCATCATTATTCTTTCTTCTTGTTCATCACCATCTTCTTCTGGTTGTTCATCTTTTTTTTCTTCAGTTGATATTCACATAATACTGCTGCTTTTAGACCAATTTTCATTCATATATCATTGGGCTAATTCATAGGTGATTTTGGTAAGTAAACTAATGATTTTTACTCTAATATTTCATTTTGGTAATTTGAGTGTTTCTTAAAAAATTTACAGTCGCGTACTCAACAGGTAAGTCACATGTTGCAACAGATAGATTACATGTTGGATACATATTACAGTACCATGTCAAGCTGGGACTGAACCAGAAGTTTGTCCCAACAAATAAGTCATTTATTGCAATCGATGAGTCATCTGTTGCAACAGATGGATTACCTGTTGGATATATATTATAGTATCAGGCCAAGCTAAAAAAAAACCAGAAGCTTGTCACAACAGATAAGTCATTTATTGCAACATATGAGTCATCTGCTGCACCAGACGACTCATATGTTGCAACAGATAGCTTACCCGTTGGATACATGTTACAGTACCAAGCTAAACTAGGACAAAACCAGAAATTTGTCCAAACAGGTAAGTCATATGTTGCAACAGATGACTCATTTGTTTCAACAATAGACTTACATGTGAATCATCTGCTGCAACTGATGATCTACTTGTTGCAATAGATGATTGACTTGTTGGGACAATAATTGTGCATATGATTTTAATTGTATATAGCCACTCAACTTTACTATACAATCATTATTAAATATTTTTAATAAATTCCTTTGGGTACCATTAATGGAAGAATCAATAATAATAGTTATTGATTGTTATGGTGAATGGATTGAGAAGAACAATCGATTTATCTGGCGTTGGAAAGATGGTGACATGTCAGAGTCAATATTGATGACCGTCCAAAGGGATATTTTGTATAATGATTTTGTGAACTCAATCATTAGATATTGTGGACTAAATTGGACACCAGAGAACAACATGCCCGATTCAAAATGCTCCATAATTATTGTAATAGTGAAATAACTATTTTGTACTTAGTTATGAATCTTATAATTTTAACTCATTTTGGTTAATTGTGTTCATATTTATTATATAAAATATATTAGTTATGCTCATCTATTGCAACAAACTTTGTATATTTTGTATTAGATACATTATATATTATTGCATTATTTGTTGCAATAGATAACCCATCTGTTGAAAATACTCAAATAAATATGATCATCTGTTGCAACAATTATAGGAATCTGTTACAACAAATGTCTAATATGTATTACATGTTGCAATAGATGACCCATCCATTGGAAATAATCAAGCATATATGCTCACTTGTTGCAATGGATGCTTCATCTGTTGCAACATATGAGCATATATATTTGATCATTTTCAGTCGACTCTAGATATATTTGATATGAAATGTTTTATTAGCCCATAATTAGTAATAAATAAAGTTATTCAATTATAATTACCTTTCAATTATAAATTTAAGGGAAAAGGGTTAAAAATGCCCTTAATATTTATGTGGAACGGTCTATGCGGAGCGGAGTGAAGGCAGGTTGAAAATGAAAAATTTAGAGAAAAGGGTTAAAAATGCCCTTAACGTATCCCAAATGGTTCAAAAATGCCCTCCTTCCACCTTTTGGTTTAAAAATGCCCTCAACGTTTTTTTAAGGTTTAAAAATGCCCTTTTTTAACAGTCGGCTGACATGGCAAATGCTGAGTCATTAAATTAGACAAATGGCTTCATCTTATTGGTCCACCTATTTTTTTTAAATCCAGCCCAACGACCCGACCCATCTATGCTACAAAAACTCAAACCCACCCACAAACCCGTTTACACATTAACCTAACATATCCTTGAACTCCATTTTAGCATGATTCTCAGCCTTTTTTTTAGCAGCCGCCGAGGATGAAGGTTTAGGGTTGCAAATCACAACACCTTCAATTTGTTCTTCAGTTGACTAAGGTAATGTTTTGCTCTTTTACATTACAGAGTATTTGAGTATATGTTAAAAATCATGTATTTTGAATCTTTTTATGCTTTGTTTATATTGTGTTAGTTGCAGTGGTCCATGTCCCTTTTCTTTTATTTGTCTCCGTCTTCATTAATTTAGAGTTTTTAACTGCTAGTGGGGGTCCATGTCTTTTCTCGATGATATGCTTTATTTATACATATTATATTTTATATTTTATTACACTGAGTATTGTCTGATGTGGGCTCTCTTCTTTTTTTGTTGTGTTGCATATTGACTCGATTCAAGAATGGTTGAACATGTTGATCTGATTTTTAATTATGGGGGACAATGGTTTCGAAAACCACAACTGGTATACCATAAAAAATTGATTCACGTATGGAGAGGTTACGAAGTTGACTTGCTGTCTTACATTGATGTATGTCGAGAATTTAAAGAAAAATTAGCTTTTAGTGAAGTACGACAGCTTCTATTTACAGCCCCATCTGGTGGTTTCTATGTGATCGAAGGGGATGAAGGCATTAGAACTCTTCAGAATTTATTATCTGACAATTTCAAGGTAGTGAACTTTTTTGCAGTAGATAACTATGAAGAGGAGCTTGGGTTAGTTCCAAACATCATTCATTACCATAAATGTGACAATGTTATAGAAGTTGGAACATATTGTGATAGTAGTGAGGAAGAGGAAAATAGTGAAACTGTGTCTAGCGAATACGATAGTGAAGAGTTGGAGAGTTATAAAAAGCAAAAAGAACTTGATATCAATGAAAAATTAGACAAGTACAAGGATTTGGAGTATGGTATGACCTTTAGCAATCTCAAGGAAGCTAAACAAGTTATAGACTTCTATGCTGTTGCAAATAAGAGGGATATTAGAGTAAAGAAAAGTGACAAAGGTAGAGTTACTTATTGTTGTGTTCTTGATTGTCCCTTTCGATGCTCGATTTACAAGGATGAGAGAGATCAAGGTTTTAAGATCAAGACCTTAAATCAAGAACACACATGTTATGAGACTTCTGAGAACAGGAGAGCTAAAGCTGGGATTTTATCTCAATATTTTAAGAAGAAAGTTCAGAATAATCCTGCATTAAAGATTAAAGACATGAAGGAGCACTTGGATTCTGTTTTGGATCTTGATGTGAATGAGTCAAAATTGAAAAGAGTAAAGAGGCTTGTCTTAAACAAATTAGATGGTAGTTACGCGGATGATTATAACAAGTTGGAGGCATACGCACAAGAATTGAGGATGAGTAATCCAGGAACTGATGTAGTGATCAATTTGTCAAGAGATGCTATGGAAGAAGGCAAAAGAAGATTTTTAAGGCTGTATATATGCTTTCAGGCATTAAAGGAAGGCTGGAAAGGAGGTTTGCGACCTTTTATAGGGCTAGATGGCACCTTTTTAAAAGGAAAAAGTAAGGGAATAATGTTGGTCGCAATGGGACAAGATTCGAGTAACCATTTCTATCCACTTGCTTGGGCCATAGTAGATAAAGAAACTAAAAGAACTTGGAACTGGTTTCTAGAGCTGCTGAAACATTCTTTGGATTTAAAGTCGGGTGAAAATGTCACTTTTATATCAGATATGCAAAAGGTATCTTTACTTTAAGTTCATTTCATCTTTTCTTAGCTAGTTTTCATGTACATTATTCTGCAACTAATCTGAATTTATGTTTTTGAAGGGTTTATTGAATGCTGTTACTAATGTATGCCCACAAGCAAATCATCGATGGTGTGTTAGGCATATTGAAACTAATTGGAGCAAAAATTACAGAAGTGGGGAGTTGAAAAAGCTTCTTTGGTGGTGTGCGTGGAGTACATATGAGGAGGAGTTCAAAGATCAGCTGACAAAAATGGGTGAGTTGAATAAGAAGGCTGCTAAGTCCTTGGTGAGCTATCCACCAGAAAAATGGTGTAGAGCATATTTTGACACCAAATGCAAAAATTTCATGGTTGACAACAACTTCACGGAGTCCTTCAACTCATGGATTGTAGAGGCCAGACAAAAACCAATCATAAAGATGCTTGAAGAAATAAGGGTGAAGGTTAGAAAATCTTACCTTTTTAAATTCCATAATATTTGATATGAACAAGTGTTAATTCTTTTAGATTTATGTATTAAGCTATTGGAATAAGTTCTAACTTGAAGAGGAAAAAGTGTTTAAAGCTACTGAAAAAGTTTTTAACTTGAGTTATAACAAGTGTTAAAAGTGTTATCATTTTGATTCCAGTAGCGTTTATGATGAAAAATTAATCCATTTGATCGCGCTTTTAATCTACTTTAAATCAAACTGCTAGTTTAGAGTAATAATCAGAATTTTAGATATTTGTTTTAAGGTGTTTTAAATTTCTGTTTTTTCAGTTCGTGCAACATTAGCTGGTTCATTTTTTTGTTTTCGATTATTGTTGTATAGGTAATGATCATGTTAAGGAAGCATGAGGCCGAAGTTAAAAGTTGGAAGAATGAGTTTTCACCACATGCAACGCATCTCTTTAATGACTACAAGATCATTGCCCAACGATGTAAGGTTGAGTTTAATGGGGGTTGTGGATATGAAGTGACCGAAGGTGTGGATAGGCATACAATCAATATAGAACTTAAAAGATGCTCATGCAGAGTATGGGACTTATCTGGAATACCATGTCCTCATGCCATCAAAGCATTTATCCATAAAAAAATTGACCCTATTGCTGAAATACACTGGTGGTATTCTAAGGAAGCATATTTGATGGTATATAAGCACAAGATCGAACCTGGTAGAGGTGAAATTTTTTGGAAGATGGAGCCGCACCATGCCATGGAGCCTCCTACTTTAGCTAAGATGGTTGGTAGACCAAAGATGAAGAGAACAAGAGAGAAGGATGAGGCTAAAAATAGGCAGGGGGTTTGGTCAGCTTCTAGAAAAGGAATGCTAATGACTTGTGGTTATTGTGGTGAACCAAATCATAACAGAAGAAAATGTCCATTGGGAACAATCGTAACTTCATAAATGTGTTCCCCTTTTGTATCTAATGATCATCATTTAATTTTTTTTTTCTTTATGCAGCTTAATGATAAACACAAGGACGTCTTCCAAGATGAAGAAAACTCTCAAGAATCTCATAATGTGCCCTTGACAGAATCAGAAAACAACTCAAGAAAGTGTATGTTTCTTCATTCCTGTTCCTGGTTCAAGTCAGATCTCTAGCCAGACCTCTATTGTAGCAGGGCATGATTCAGACCCTACTTTATATCCTAAAGTGGTGTCTGAAAGTAATTTTAGACTTCATGAACGACTGAAGAAGATAAATACTGGGACAAGAAAGATAACTTTCCAGGGAGATCACGATGGTATATCAATACCGATCAACCTTCCATATTCACCAAAAAAAGTAACTTGGAAAGGGAAAGAAGCAATGACTTCAAACCAATTACAAGCTACAAGGGAGAGAAAAGTTGGCAAACTTAAGCCTATAGAGGGCAAGGGGATGTAGGATTTGTTTTGTATTTACTGTCTTAAGTGTTATGTAAGGAGAACATGAAACAATGACTCCAAACAATTAGTGTTTTTGCTGATTTTTGTACTCTTAATGGTTGTTACACAACTATCGTAATGACTCCAAACAACTAGTCCTTTTGCTGATTTTTGTACTCTTAATAGTTGTTAGACAACAATCGTAACGACTCCAAAGCGTTACCTTTCTAATATCAATATTGTTTAATTGTGACAGTTGTAGATTTGGTTTAGTTGTCAAAAGTTTATTTTAGTATTATTGTGTTATATGGTTGAAAGTTGTGGAGAACTTAAACAATTAGGCAGCCATCACTTTGTTCTTTGTTCTCCTTGTAATTCTCCTTTTATGGCTGCTCGGTGATGGAAGGTTCATCAGTCAGCTGATAATACATCACGTAAGCCATATAACGTTGATCAAGACTTTGAGGCTCCATTGGTAATAGTATGATCCAAGAACGAATCTGTCAGCATTAGATGAAATCAAGATTTGACCAGTGAAGCATATCCTCCTCTGTCAAAGTTTAAGCTATTATAAAAGCTTGCAATGTAAAGATGAACATTATTCAACAAAACTATACAGACAATCTTTTCACCCCAAAAAAATTTGTTTAACAACAGTCTGCTTATTACTCACAGCTCTATCGAATTCTAGCATGAATCATCTTTTCACATCTTCCTTTGTAGGTTTACATCCATAACGATCTTGTTCTAAATGCTTCAAGAAGATGGAGAGGCTCTTCGACATGGTTGTAACTCATTTCCCCTTTTTGTTCATATTCACCGAAAATGGTGAAATTCAAGAACATCTCGAGCAATTCATCTCCTTCATCTTTGTCATATCGTAAGCTGATCAAGAGCTTTATTATCCAAAATGAGATTTGATTCTCAAGCAAAAACATACCATGAACCCTAAACCTCCATCCTCGGCAGCTGCTAAAAAAAAAGGCTGAGAATCATTCTAAAATGGAGTTCAAGGATATGTTAGGTTAATGTGTAAACGGGTTTGTGGGTGGGTTTGAGTTTTTGTAGCATAGATGGGTCGGGTCGTTGGGCTGGATTTAAAAAAAATAGGTGGACCAATAAGATGAAGCCATTTGTCTAATTTAATGACTCAGCATTTGCCATGTCAGCCGGCTATTAAAAAAGGGCATTTTTAAACCTTAAAAAAACGTTGAGGGCATTTTAAACCAAAAAGTGGAAGGAGGGCATTTTTGAACCATTTGGGATACGTTAAGGGCATTTTTAACCCTTTTCCCAAAAATTTATTATGCGGGGCAGGGCGGGACGGATTAAAAAATTTCCGGATTTATAAGTTCAACCCGCCCCGCCCCGCCCCATTGCCATACCTAGCTAGTAGAAAGTCGAGTGGAACTGCTCAAGTCCAGATATGACTTCCATATAGGGGTGTCAAAAATGAATCCAAACATAGGTAACCCGCCCAATCCGCACAGAATTTTAAGGGTTGCGCTCAAGATAATTTGAATTGGGTTCAATCTCAACCCATTCAAGCCTA